ATGGATGCGGGTTTCGGGTTCCCCATCGGGTATGGAGCTTTTTGCCATCCCTATACGCGGTGACCATGCAAACTTTCTAATAAGAGCTTAATTCATTCAGTCCAAACGTACCATTACCAGATCCAAGTCCAAGTGCTCTTAACCATAAAGTTTCCAACTTTATGGTTATGCATGCATCATTAAGACCCAAAACTAACCTCCTAGTTTGTCTTAACCACTAAAGACCTCTGCACTTTGCATGCAAGCACTAAATGAGTCAAGAAAGCATTTTTATGACTTAACACAACTCAAATGTTCTAATAGGGCAGTTCCTTTGGTTTTAGAGTAGAATTTAATCATTAAGTCCAAGAAAATGGCCAAAACTCACAAAATTCCATATGGCTAGATCTCTAAGAAATACAAGTAAAGTTGAAGGCTTTATACCTTCTGGAGCTTCCCAAGGAGGTAAGAATCCCAGATCCACAAGTTGCTCCCACACCAAAGCTTATCCAAGAATCTTCTTCTTCCTTCAATAAACCAAGAACACACCAAAAACACACACACTTGAGCTCCAAAACACACACTCAAAGGTTAGGGTTTGCAAGGACATCTCAAGAAGGGTGGAGGCTAAAAGAGTGAGGGAAATGGGGTTATAAGGTGGTTTATATAGGGATTAACCCTAAAATTTAGGGTTTTCAACATATGATGAGTACGCCCTGTGTATGTTAACGTACACCTGCGTACTAGGTCACGTCCTAGTACGCTAAGCGTACACACGTACGCATGGCGTACTCCCATTCCTTCCAAATTACAGTTTTGCCATTAGGGCTTCTCATGGCTACTTCTTTCTACTACAGGGACCAAAATGACATGAATTAAATTTATAAGGATGAATTTAAAAGTACCTGAACATAGGGGTTTTACACACAACCTTCCGGTTGGCTTACCCTGGGCCACAACCTCCTAATTGGATTGCCCTGCATATAACGTATTGGGTCCACAACCTCCCGGTTGGATTTCCCTAGCCTACAACCTCCCGGTTAGATTGCCCTGGATATAACGTACTGGGTCAATAACCTCCCGATTGGATTATCCTGTCCCACAACCTCTCGGTTGGATTACCCTGGCTCACAACCTTCCGGTTGGATTGCCTTGGCCCACAACCTCCCGGTTGGATTGCCCCAGTCTGTTGACTGACAACACAAAGCAGTACAGTCTCAACCCAACCTCACTATGTCAACATATGTAACAGAAAAACATATCACTAGCAAGTACAGGTAATCATACAGATCTACCAATCTAACATATAATCAACATATCATCATCCTATATACCATGATACATAACATAGTGGGCCGACATTGTTGCCTTTGACCTACGAGTACAGTGAGATGAAACTCACATCTCGGTCTGAAAAGATCGCTGAATAGGACACTACTCTGAATATCAGCTCTACCGGTCACCTATTCATCAAATAGTGACCAATCTCAAATACAACTCAAGATACCCAAAACACTTTTAGGTCAAACTTGGTCAAACCATGGTCAAAGTCAAAATCAATCCACACTCGAAAGTCCCACAATCCACTAGTCACGTCGTGACCCCTAATTGTCAAGTCGTGACCTAATAAGTTAAAACAGTCGAGGAATACCATCCTCATGTCGTGACACCTATGTGTTCAAGTCGTGAGAACGCTCTGATCAGAAGTTCTTAATGAAACTCTTAATCCCTTTTTGGCCAAGCAACCAAATCCTCCATAGTGTCTTATTTACTCTAGAACATCATAAAAATCATGGCTTTTTGGACATGCATGTCCTAAATACTAACTAGGGCACAAAAGAGGAAATGACACCAAATCTCATGCAAGAGTCTTAAAACTCAATCATATTCTAGATCTAGCATATATACTACTCAATAGACACTAGTGATCCATAAAGTTGGCAACTTTATGGATTTCAACCACTACATCATCTTGAATATAAAGGATTAAGCATAAAAACCTAGATCTAAGCTTATGGACTCATAAAGCAATGAACTTGAAACCCACGAAAGGTCCAGAAGGTGGGAGAATGCTTGATGGAGAGACTTGAATGCAGAAATGATGACTAGATGTTCTTCCTCTTCTTCTTTTTGCTAGAATCACCAAAAATAAGCTTCGGTTCAAATATGGATGCTAGGGTTTCAAAGGGGAGTACAAGGAGGTAATGGAGGATGATAGTGGGCTAACCTTAGCCCTCACTTCCTTAAATACGGAGTAAAACCCCCAAAATTAGGGTTTCCTCTCAGACTAGTCTCATGTCGTGAGCCATATGTGCTCACGTCGTGAGCCCAAAGATGGTGCGCGATTGCACTAACCTCCTGACGACGTGACATACATACCTCACATCGTGAGTAGGGATAAAACCTTAGAATTTTTAAACTTGACAATTACTCACCTGAATTGAACGTTACATAGTTTAACTCACATCGTTGCGACATGGTCTCCTATATGTCTTTATATGTTGGAATCTCCCATCTCTCCATAACGACACTTTTATAGCGTAAATGTGTAAGTTAACACATCCTTCTTAAAGTCAGTGTCTCGTACATGTGTGAGTTAACACATCCTTCTCTATCCTCATCAAGACTTCATATCTTTGGGTGGGGGGTAATTCATCTAAAATCGATGTGACATGTTCCTATAAATGTTTATGTATGTTGGAGTCTCCAATATCTCCAAAATGGATCTTTTGGGGATACAATCTTAGACTCTCAATGTATGTTAACATTCCCCAAACTCAATTTCAAGAAGAATGCACCAAATTTAATTTTAACAACAAAATTAAAAACGAAACCACAAATGTGCTTTGTAAAGATACTGATGCAAAGCAAATAGGTAATTCTTTATTACACATGAAAAACAATTAAACAAAGTTCATATGATTCAAAATGTAGGTTCTCATAAAATTAAAATACCGGATTATTAATCTTCCCTCTATTTGGGGCTCCCAACTTGTCAAGTTATAGGGCGTGTTTGGCAAAAGTAGCTGTTAGCTGGAAGCGGGTAGCTGGTAGCGGAAAGTTGTAGATTTTATTTGTTATGTGAATATTTGGCAAAAGTAGCTGGAAGCTTTTGAAATATATAAAATTACATAAAAGGACAATTGATTAAAAATAAATAAATATATAAATATATTTTTAAGGGTAATTATGAAAATTGATTTCAAAAGCTCAGTAGCGTTTTGTTAAACGCTACATGAAGTAGGTTTTAGAATTGAAGCGTTTTGTTTAAACTAAAAGCTAAACGCTCGTACTGCCAAACGAAGCTTTTTGTTTAAACTAGAGCGTTTTGTCAAAAGCTAAAAGTTAGAAGCTTCCAAACGCTTCCAAAAGCTCCGTGACAAACACGCCCATAATCATTCTCAAACTTGCCTTATGAAAACAAGGTAAAGGAAACATAAACTACTCCAACCAGGAAGAAGGAGCTTATTTATTGCTTGGCCCTTAATAACCTTAAAAATAAATAAATGAATAAATAAATAAGCATAATCTCCCAAGGCCTTCGTTATATAGCAGATTTCTTGGGTGCGTTTTTTCAGTTCTCTAAGGCCTTTAATCTTGTTAAATTATGCTTTTCTTCCAAAGGAATCCAACAAAAACAATAGTAATAAACTATACATAAGGTATAACCGTCTACCAACATGTCACTATCCATGCTCTACTAAGTAGGGGTGAACATTTGGACCGGTGGACCGGACCGGACCGGACCGTTTTTTTGGACCCCCGGGTCGGTTCTCGGTTCTAGGAATCCATCAAAACCGGTCCGGTTTTTTTCCCGGTCCGGTCCGGTTTTTACCGGGTTTAGAACCGATTGGATCCGATTTTAATTTTTTTTTGTAAACTTTAAACAACCATAACTCATTCGTTTTAAGTTGGATTGACACCCGGTTTTTTCCAACGTTTAATTTACAGTTTGTAGATGAATTTAGACTATAATTTTGTTAATTTTGGTATTATATTCAATGAGTTACAGTCTTTTAAAGTTGAGCTATCAAAGCTGAAAATTTTCAGCTTTTTAGCAACGTTTTTAAAATTTTGTAATCTGTGAAAATTTTTAAACAACCATAACTCAGTCGTTTTAAGTCGGATTGATACGCGGTTTTTTCCAACGTTTAATTTACAGTTTGTAGATGAATTTAGACAATAATTTTGTTGATGTTTGTATTATATTCAATGAGTTACAGTCTTTCAAAGTTGAGCTATCAAAACTAAAAATTTTCAGTTTTTCAGCAAGATTTTAAAAATTTTGTAATCTGTGAAATTTTTTAAACAACCATAACTCATTCGTTCTAAGTCGGATTGACCTGCGGTTTTTTCCAACATTTAGTTTACAGTTTATAGATGAATTTAGACTATAATTTTGTTGATTTTGGTATTATATTCAGTGAGTTACAATCTTTCAAAGTTGAGCTATCAAAACTGAAATATTTCAACTTTTTAACTATTATTTTAGACTATAATTATGAATTTTATGTATCTTTGACAGATAAATCATATAAAAGGGATCTTGGTGAACTTGATTTATATGTTAGTTGCTTTTATTTGGAAAATTAATTTTGTAAGTTATAATATTATAACATCAATGTAGATTAGTTATGCATGAAATGAAAATGTAATCATTTTTACAAGTTGTATCGTATCAAACCCAATAACGTATTCGTTTTAACGAGTTCTATCAAACCCAAAAACTTATTTTAACGACTTGTACTCTATGCAATTAAAGTTGTACCGGTCCAAACGGGTCCAAGAACCGGAAAACCCGGACCTGGACCCGGACCCGGACAAGGACACGGACACGACACATCCGATCCGGTCCACGGTCCACAATATTCTCCATAACCGGTCCGGTCCAAGAGCCGGTCCGGTCCGGTCCGGTTCGGTCCAAATGCTCACCCCTACTACTAAGTATTGTGTTTAAACAAAGAAATTAAATTTCTAGGTTTTCCACACTTTGATTTTAGTACAATAAATCCAAAAAACAATCCATGTTTGAAACGTGAAATAAATATTCAGCAACTACAGTCATATGAATTAATAAATTTAAATAATGTTCTAATCCTAACCAAACCACCTTTCACCATCACTTCATGCAAACACACACACTCAAATAGGAATCATCTTCAACACCACAGCAATCGGCATGCTCAAAAACCCAGTCAAAACACTATAATACCATTGCTTCATTGTCAACGGCGTCGTATTTGCAAACGTCCCCAGAAACTCAATTATTATCACCTGGAACACCGCAGTCGCTCCAAGAACACTCATAAACACGTTATTACTAAATATCCCATTCAACACATTCACCTTCTCCATTTCCCTCGAATTCACCTCATTAAACAACTGCAAAATTAACAACAATTAATTAACTATTCGTATATTACTATATTTTTCCCAAATTGAATTTGATTGTTAATTACCTGACAGAAGACGAAGGAGTTGAAAATTAGGGTATTGAGGATTAAATCGGAATTGGATCCATAAAGTCCATAGAATTCTTTTCCTCTTGATTGAAGAAGCCAAATGATAACGAATTGATACGTAGACTGCCCGAAGATGTTTCTCCACATCACGTTGCTGATGAAATTGCCTGATCGGCCGACCGGAATTCGCTTCATGAGCTCATCATTTGGTGGCTCCGTCGCTAGCGCCAGTGCTCCCAATGTGTCCATTATCATGTTCACCCATAACAGCTGGACAGCTGTCAGTGGTGTGCTCCCTAAAGAAGAAAAAAAAGTAAATTACATGAATAGTCCTTATGGTTTGAGGTAACTTGCATATTTAGTCTCTAACTTTATAGGATCCAGTTGTATAGTATTGATACCTGTCATACAAGCTGAGGTGAAGTTGACCAATAGAGCAACAATGTTGACGGTTAGTTGAAACTGTACGAATTTTTGAATGTTAACGTACACTGATCGCCCCCATTTTGCAACGGTCACGATTGTCGAGAAATTATCATCCAAAATTATAACATCTGCACTCTCTTTCGCTACCTGAGTTTGAATTTTAATATTTTATTATCATCTAACATATAAGTAGTTAAGTATGTTGTTATAGGTTAAAAATGAAATACATCGCCTTTATCAACAAAAGCACATTGTTATATTGATGGTGAAAGGAAAGTATGTTGCTATTAAAAATTACCTCAGTTCCGGCAATTCCCATTGCAAGCCCAATATCAGCCTCATGAAGTGCGGGTGCATCATTCGTTCCATCACCTGTAACAGCTACAACCTCCCCAAATGTCGTCCGTAAATGTTTCACCAGTGTATGTTTATCAAGAGGTGAAGACCTAGCCATCACCTATAAAAAATCAATAATTTAAAATATCAGTTGTTTTCTTCTAGAGCAGCTAAATAGTTGTTTGATAGTTGTTAATTGAGTTATAACAGAGTGGGTTAGAAGTTTGGACCGAGTCAGAAGCAAAAATGGATACCAAACACTTGGACTGAGGACTGGGTTTGAAACTGAAGAGTAAAACTCAGTACGAAGCTTTTTTGAACATAGTTGTGGATTCAGCCAGAAGTTAGGAGAGAGTCGGAAGGTTTTGAAGCAAATCAAAGACACTGATTGGGAAATACGGACTGAGTCCTAGCTTTGGACCTGGTCGAAACATTTATCAAACGGTTCCTAACACACACCCTTCAATTTTATTTATAAACTGTATTTTTATCAACCACATAACTCCTTAGGAAGAAATTCAAATACTTAGATCAAATTTGTTATCAACCGATTAATCTTACATACTCTTTCTTTACCTGAATCTTAGGAACAAGATCATTTAATTCCTCAAGACTCTTCTCACGAAAATCTGGGCCTTCAATAGCAACACCACCTTCCCCAAGTATCCCACATTCTTTAGCAATAGCTTTTGCAGTATTAATATTATCCCCTGTAACCATCCTCACAGTAATCCCAGCTGATCTACAAAGCGCCACTGATTCCTTGACACCTGGACGGACAGGATCTTTAATCCCCACAATTCCAATACAAGTATACCCGTTAGATGGAATCGGAGTCTCACTATTCACATTCTTATCCAAATCAATATACGCCAAACACAAAGTCCTCAAAGCTTCACTAGCAAATTCATCAATCGTCCCATTCAAATATTTCAATGAACCTTCATTTAACGGAATCACATCGCCGTTAGCGTTAACGACTTTATCACACGCCGCTAATATGATCTCAGAAGCACCTTTACAATGTGCTCTAATAGTTCCTTCTGGAAGCTTCAAAACCACCCCCATTCGTTTCTTCGAAGAATTAAAGGGTTCCACTCGCAACACACTCCCCACCTGTCGCTCCGCCGTGAATTCGCCGCCTAACGACAGCCCAAACTCCAAAATCGCCGCCTCCGTCGGTGTGCCGAGAATCTCCCGTTTCCCTTGTTTGTTATTCACGACTTCGCCGCCGGTGTTGTTGAAGATCGATTGGAGTAAAATCTTCAACGCTTTATCGGGAATTCCGTGTTTTACTTCTTTTTTTACGTCTTTTGCGTTTAAACAAATACAGGATTTGACAACTGTCATATGATTAGTGGTTAAAGTCCCAGTTTTGTCGCTGCAGATACTGGTGGCGGAGCCCATGGTTTCGCAGGCGGCGAGGTGGCGGACGAGTGCTTTGTCGTCCATCATCTTCTTCATCGCGAACGCTAGAGATAAAGTCACAGCGAGTGGGAGACCTTCCGGGACTGCAACGACGACGATCGTGACAGCGATCGCAAAATATTCTAACAACTCCAAAGCATCGTCGGCGATCCAAGTCCATTGGGTTCCTTCTGAGATTTTCCGGTTGAGAAGTTTTTGTACTAAAACTGCAAAAGTGACGATGGCGAAGAAAAGACCGATTTTTCCGATGACAGTTGCGACGCCGTTGAGTTTGACTTGTAACGGCGTTTCATCGTCGCCACCTTCGCTTAAAGTAGCCATTAATTTCCCCCATTGTGTTCGCATTCCGACCGTTGTAACAAGCATTTTGCATGATCCATCTTGAACTTTAGTCCCGGACATTAACCATGGATTCTCGGCGCTGATCATCACCGGTTCACTTTCTCCAGTCAAGCTCGATTCATCAATGGAGACGGAAAACCCCGAAAGAAAAACACCATCTGCGGGGACTTGATCACCTATAGCGAGGTGCACGATATCACCAGCGAGTAAATCGTAAATTGAGAGTTTCTGTCTATACCCACTTCGTGTAACTTGAATCGAAATCTTCTTTTTCTCTTTATCAAGATCTCGAAACTGTAGAGATTGACGATAATCGCTTGTTGCAGTGACGAAAACAACAAGTAAGATACTTGCGACAATTCCAAGCCCATCGTGGGCCCCTTTGGGCCATCCTTCGGTTGCTATGCCGACGATTAAGGAAACGAAAGCGCACATGGCGAGGATCATGAGAGTCATGTCATGAAGAGCTTCCCATACGAATACCCAGAAGCTTCGCTGTGGGGATTCAGCGAACTTGTTGACTCCGAAGACTTGTTGTCTACGTGCTATCCCTTCGGTGTCGACTGAAAGGCCATTAGTGATTGATGTTTTGAGTTTCTCTGCAAGACCTTCTACTCCGCCATGGAATTTCAGCTTTTTTTGGTCGTGGCCTTCGACTAGAGCCCCGGCTTCATCAGCACAGATGTCGAAACCAGCTGCTTTAACATCGTCTGGTACCTTGTAGTCGCCGGTTTGTGCTCCTGTGTGTATCGTGGAAAAGAAAAGGGATTATATGATGGGGGAAATAAGAGGAATTTGAATGTAGAAGTATGATGAACTTGCCTTGTATGAACTGGAATGCAGCTTTTGACACCAGAACTGCAATCCTCAATTTCTCCTAATCATCCGAGGCACAATTGGTAAGTCATTAATGTGTTGTTGAATCAAATTAGCTTTTGATCATAAATATATAGATCCAAAATTTATTGAAGTTGTATATGATTTCAACCAATTTTCCATTGACTCATGATTTAACGAGAAATTACGAATTACAATAACTGTAAATCACAACATATTGGATATGAAACGAAACATGTAGAATTCGACGATCAATTATGAATTTGTGATTGTAAATCATAATTAATAAAACAAGAAGGATAACGTAACAATTAATAACCTGATTTGTACGCCGCATAGCAGCAGCTTCATTGCGCTTGACGATGTTGGCTGTGTGACGAAATCGTCGCTTAGGGTTCTTGACAATATGACACAGACCTCTCCATTTCTGTAATACCTCTTCCGAAGAATGTTTCGCTTTCACTGCGTGGAAATTCTGATTCAAATAATTCTCCATCACTTTTCCCTCCTTCAAATCTCTCTCACTCGCTAACGTTTTTTTTTCTTTGATGTATAAATCTCCCTACAAATCTACTTTGTTCGATGAAATTGAACGATCATATCCCGAAATCAACACCGATTTGTCTTCATTTCCAAACAACATTGCGTTATTATGTGCATAATAACTAAACCTTCAATAAGTAGATGCAAAAATTCGGAAAATTGATGAATAAAGTATCAGATTCTCGACATCGTCATCATGATTATATAGAAAGGGGGGACAATATGCATTTGAAGAGGTTTCCGTGAATCTCACTTACAATTCCTGAAACATGAACGAGGAAAATAGGAAGAAATTTCGTCTTCTTAATCTTACCTTCACCAAAGAAGGTAAACGAAATGGAAAATGGTTGATTGATCGATTCGTGTAGATCAAAGAGCAAAATGTTATCAGGTGTGGAGATTTAAAATTGATGTCGAAGATCCGAAATTCCGTGAGAGATATGAGGGAAGCGAGCTATGGAGGAGTGTTAGTTTATAACGGTTTCCTTCCTTCTTTATCATTACAGTGTCACGAAATGTACGGAAACGTAATGACCGGGCTCCGTTTTTGGTTTTTCTATTTTATTTTGATGAATAATAATAGACTAAACTACAAAATTGGTCCCTAAGGTTTCACACAAACTTTGGATAAGGTCCAAAAAATTTTCAACTTGCATGGGATATCAAAAATAAAGAATTTTCTGTGATTTTGATAAAAAAAAACTTGAATAGACTTTTTTGCCATTTTAATTTCTTTTTTATATTTTATTATATTTATTTTAATACTTTATTAATTAAAAATTAAAAACAAAAAAACTGGGCCCACCAACCAACCACCGTCGTACCATCCCTTCTCTCTGTATCTCTATTTCTCTCCAAACTAACCCACCATCTTCAGTCTTCATCTTCAAAAATCTCTCCAATGAGACCATCTTCCGCCTCTGTCCAAGCCTCCACCGGCGACAGCAACTCAATATCCGATTCCTCAGCCACCCATTTGCTTCCAATAGATCTCTTATCGACAATTTCTCCAATCAACAGCAGCTCAATATCCGTTTTCTTTGATCGTTGCCATGATTACTGGAAGCTTTGTGATGAACGATAATTTCCTGTGCTCCATTGGGTACGGACGCTTCAGATATGTTCGTCAGTGGAACGGAGGTGGTGGAAGGAGAACTTCATCGGTGAAGTCGGTCAGGTCCGACGAAGGTATACAAACACAGATATGTGATATTCCCCACTACTACCTGTGATCTTCTTCCCTTTACCAAATGAACAAAAAACCCCTCAAACTCCCTCTCAACATCACTCAGTCGTTGGCAAGAAAAAAGCAAGCCAAAAACTTTGAACTTTATCAAGAAGACACATCACCAGAGAGGTTAGATAACATGGTTTTATATTTGACCTTTGACAACACAAGTACCTGCAACAGGAAAGTTAGTTAATGCATTTTCTTTTTTCATTGTTGTTATATAATTATTTATGATGCATGCGTAAGACACCATCATTTGAAGACTTTCTATGGGATGCTTGGGCATGTTTGTGCTCTTCATCAACTCATCTGAAAGTGAGATTTCATTTTAATAATTCTATATTTATTTTTTGAAATAAAAGAAACTATTAATAGTTTTTTGTGAAATGATATTTAATAAATTTGTACATGTTTTATGCATCAAAGAACTAGGGTTGAACGTGTTATTGGTTTTGTTCTTGCTATATGGGGCATTTTGTTTTATTCTGACCTCGTGGGCACATTGACCGAACAATTCAGGGTACATTCTTGAATCATATATGTCCTTGTCGTCATTGAAAATATAAGTGCAAGTCGATATATTATTCATCATATCAATGTCCTTACAAAAAGGTATTCTTGTCTCACTGTTTTATGTTAAATCAAGGGTATAATATTAGCAATAGATTAGATAAAAAATTATTCAACGCGTGTTTTATCATAAATTAGTGTTTATAAGTTGGTAGTTTTTATATGATGTGAAAAAATATAAATAATCAGCCATTATTAGCATAAAAATTATTCAATGCATTTTTTATTGGACATTATAGAAAATATAAACCCTATTGTAACCATGTTTTTTTTGAAAAAAATGGTATATATACGTATAAAAAAATTTTCCATTTTTTTTATAAAAAAATTACTCTAATTTACCATTTTTTTTACTTATAAAAAAATTTAATGCCAAAATTACTCTAATTTACCATTTTTTTGAAATAAACACTTAAATTTCCGTTTGATGATTATGAAAGAACAGTTAAGGAATTAACCATGACTGACCTGCAACATGAGATGCAAGCGATTGAAGACAACCGTGAAAGTAATCAAGAAGTTGAATCAGAAATTAGATTTTGTAACAAAGAAATCATCAGGTTTGATAATCGGAAATTGAAGATGTAATTACGAAAATGCCATTGTTGTCGAAGATGCCTAGATTTATGAACCCTACAATCTGCAGTACATGAAAATCGGGAACGGGTTATCAGAATTCGCATAAGAAAGAGATTAGACATGAAATAAGAAAGAAACAACTATCGTTGTCTCAGGCAGAATCTGTGGGTTTTCGTATAAAGGGCATGGCCGAAAGCTACTCGGGCAGTAGTATGTCAAGAGCAGGCTCCTTTGTGGATTTGAATGAGACAAAATACAACCATGAAACTTTACAATGTAGCTTTAGAACAAACATAAACAAACATAAAAACTCTCTCAAGAATTCAAATGATAAGCGTGTTATTTCAATCCCGACTCCCGCAAAGAAAGGAAGGTTTAAGGAACAAATGAAAAAGTAATCAAGTAGATGTCTCAAAGTACAATGTCTTAATAATGAAAAAGAATACAACAACCACCTCTGAACCATGTGAAACATTGGCACCCTTCTCTAGTTATTGTTGTTGTTGTTGTTATTATTATTATTATTAGTATTATATTTATATAAAACATATTTATTAATATTTAAACATAAAATCTTATTTTTTTAATTAACGTATAAAAATGACTACATTTTTTAACGTGAAAAATTCATTTTGTTATCATTTTTATACGAAATAAATATATATTTATGCCAATTAAATACAAATAAATATATTTTTTTAACATATAAAAATATATAAATTTCGTATTTGAAGGTACACATACAATTTCAGTTGTATAAATACATTTGTAAATGCTTAAATACTTTTTTTTAAATATATAAATATGTTTTTAAATATATAAATACATTAAAAATGTATGTATATCTTTTAAGCATATTTTTAAATATATAAATACATTTGGTAATGTGTTTATACGATTTTAAATATATGAATACATTATTATAATTTTTATGAATTTTTACGTATATTTTTAAATGTATTTGTATTTACAACACGTATTTATACATATTTAAACGTGTGTAAAGATACTTATACAAGTAAGACATCTTTATATGTATAGATTATATATAAAAACGTTTTATATGTATGAAAAATATTTTATACGCATAAATAACATTTCTATTAAAACGTCTAAAAACATTAATTATACTTTTAAAAACATATTTACTTATAAAAATGTTATTTATACATAATATGTACATATAAATATGTATTATATATGTATTCATTAATATTTAAATCTATAAAAACATATTCTTTAACGTATAAAAATATTTTTTAAATGTATAAATATTATTTTATACATTCAAAAAAGAACCAAAGTAAATCATCCAAAAACCTCTTTTTGTGTTTTAGTTAATAAATGTATAAAAACATATACTTTAACGTATAAAAAATGTTTTTTTTATATGTATAACGTTTTTATTTATAAAATAATAATAAATATGTTTTTATACATATTTTAAAATATTAAATAATAATGTTTTTATACATATAACATATAAAAATGTTTTTATTCATAAAGACTAATAACTATGCTTTTTATATGTTTAAATATAAATAAATAAATTTGTTATACCTTTAAAAATATATTTATACACTAGTTTATAACCCGTGGGAACCACGGCTACAAAATTAGTTGAACTTTCATAATAAAAACTTAAAATCATTAATCAATTATTTTAAATAAATTATTAATTAAGAGATATTTTTTAGTTATATAAAATTATAAGCGCTGATTTAAATAATTATGTGACTTTATAATCTGTATTAATTTTATTTTATTTTTATTCTAATGTTATTTAATTTAATGTAATTAAAGTGAAAAATTTTAAATTTAAAATTTGAAATAGCGAATTAATAAGTTGTCATATGACATAACATTAATTAGGAAACTTAATAGTATGACACATGACAAAAGGAGAATCAACCTATTCTTTTATTAGAATAGAGATTTAATGATATTTTAACAAACTGGTCAACTTCTCATTTATGAGAGCAATGATAATTGGATGTTGATGGGCATACGTAGATGGAGTTTTCCGAAGGGGTATGTACGTCGTGGCATGATTGATTACTTAAACAATGTAAGACAATATTATATCTTGCAACCATCAAGATACCTACTTCGGACAAAATCATCTAATACTCGTTGGTGCTTGAGAGCTATTGAAACGTAATGATTGGTAAACATCATCCTAGTCCCTATCAAACATGATCGCGTATTCCTCAAAGTGTATCATTCTCATCTGCTAACTCTTTCCTGATTTAGGGTCAATCATCTTCATATAAACCGAGACAAGAAGTGATTGCTCGAAACCATAATTTCCGTTTACATATTGTATATCTTCGATATACGGATGAAACATAACTGTAACTTGTGACATGTATGCATGAGAATAATATTTTTTATGCATGCAGACATTATATCGAGACTGGTCAAGTTTGTGTGTATTTTTTAACCGAACAAATTGTGACACTTTTGAAAAACTATTGGGGATCTTCACTAGGAGGATCTACATAATTTTATATTCTTTGAATGATAATTTATAATGAAAATGAATGAAAATTTAGAAGTTATGAATAAGAATTTATAAGTATTATCTGAATTATTAAAATTTTGATGCATTATTCTACAAATTATTAAAATTTTGATGCATTATTTTTCAAATTATTAAGAATTGATGTATTATTCTATGAATTATTATGAATTGATGTATTGTTCTCTGAATTATTAAGAATTGATGTGTTATTTTTTGAATTTTAAAAAAATAAAAGTTAATGGTTAAAAAAGAATATAAGAGGGCTAAATTAAGTTTTTTTTTTTAGCCTCACAGACTCTTATATAAAAGAGGACAAAATAAATGAAGAAAAATTTTGGGATTAAATGACGTAATTTGAAGGATCCACGAACTTTTGAAAAATAAAGGATAATTGAAATATTTTTTTATTTTACAGGTATGAAGAGGGTAAATAAAATAAAGAAAAAAAATTGATTTTAGTTCTATGTATTTTAAATTGATCCATCCATATTGGATCCATAAGTATCATTTGTTGGATTACCAAATTGGAATA